AACACTAGTTAGCAACAACTGAAAGAATCAGTGTGTTATCAACATTCTTCTCATACTGAACTCAAAACACAGCACTGTACCAGCTACTAGGAAGACAGTTAACACTATCCCAGCTGAAACCAGGACACCACTCAAACATATAAGAGTGGAATATCAATACAAGAATATTGTGTTAACAAGTGCACAAGATATCAAATCTAATCATCTTGTTACAATATAAGATACTCTCAAAAAACTATGAAGTTTACCATTTAAATACATATATACACACACGTAGATATGTGTGTGTGAAGGAGGAAAGGATATAGATTTAGCAAATGATGGAATGCAGAGTTTTTAAGAAGCTTCTACCATTTTCTGAGGTGACCTTTCCAGAGAAAATTTATGTTGTTTGTTCCTTGAGCTGTATATGATTAGTACTGTCAGAATACACAGAGAAGTTATGAAGGCTGCTGTGGTGCCCAGAAATGATGTGCTAAACCCCAAATTTAAATTAACAATAAAACAGGTTTTTCCATATTTTTTTTTTTTACTACACTTAATTACATAAAAACTATCTGAGAAAGCTAGCTATTTGTAGTTAACTCATACAGCTTCAAATATTTAATAAGAAACCAACAAATTTAGTCATTGATGTTTTACAGACAACTTCCTAATCTTTACCTCAGTCTTGGTAAAAGTTTCATTAGGGAGTCATGTCAGCCATCCAGACTCTCACCTTGATAACTCAAGAGAAGTAAGCCAGAATCACTTACATTAAACTAAATTTTGTGAACATACAAGTGATATTTAGTTGCAGACAGTGTTTTAATTTCATGTACTTACCCAGCATCTTGTCAGATAAGATGTCAGATAAATTTATTAATATATAAAATTCTTGTTCTGTCAAATCATTTCAAAAATCACAGATCTATTGTCATTAATAGAAAGTTGACTAATTACTAATATTTTACTGTTTCCTCTCCAGCTCATGGAAGGAAACTTAGTGGTTCCAACTATACAGATCTCCTCCTACTCAATGTTCCAGGGCAGCAGGTAGCTCAATCATAATTGCCAATATTTTGGAAGTACTGATCTTACTGTCTTTTCTTATTTAGCTGTATGAAAATATTTTAGAACTTGATCATTAGCCATGAATTTGGAAATTATTTCCATCTAGGTTTGAATTCTTACTGGCTTCTATGTCCAAATTGTTCTGCATTTTATGTGTTGTTCCTTGGCATTCCTATAAAAGAATATTAAACAAGCTCCCCACTACAGATACTAAGATCTCGATTTTTACCAGTACTGTCCCCACCCCTAAACTCCAATGACACTATTTCAAATTAAGGATCTTACGGACTGCAGTGAAAACTTAATTAACAGGTATTTTTAAGCAGTTATAAAACTCATTCATAAATAAACAGTAAAAGAAAAAGTGGAACACTGATTAAACTCCTGAATGCATATGACAACACATGATGAGACTTGGTAAAGAGCCTATCCATGTTAATTTTTCTAAAAGCTTGTTGTATACTGTGAAAAGGTAATTAAGAATACTCTGACAACAAAGGAAGTATTCAATCATTTTCAACCGTGAAAGAAGATAAGCACACTTGCCCCCCAACTGCCATCGCTGTTGGAGTGACAAACACACTGATGTTTAAAGAAACTTTGGTTGTCCCAGACCACCTTTCAAACTACCCCCATTAGAATAAAGAAACAGAGGCAAAGAGGCTTAATTTATTAAAGCACAAAGTTTGTTTTTTGTTTTTTAATCTGTGCTCATCTTATAACATCTGTCAGAAGTTTAAAAGAAAAAAGCAAACACCACACAACCACAACTACTATATTTGTTCACTTAACTCACCCTAAGCTCCCAACTGATCCACAGGAGAAAAAAATGCCCTTTTCTAGCAGGTAACCTTATTTTGTAGATGGATGTCATAATCCACAACGGAGTCACTCAACTATCATAAGCATCCATCCCTTCACACAGAAATGTATGAGAAGATCTACAGCACGTTTTTTAATTACTCACCTTCTTCAATGTTTATATTTACTTATGAGAAGACTGCCTGAAGAGGTACAGTAGACAGTCTGCTAGTATTGAAAACAGGCAAATGTTGACCTCTGCTCCTCATTTATTTTCCTACAAAAATAGTTTGTGACCTGATCTAAATTAGTGTCACGAGCTACACTCCATCCATTTCCCATTCTAGCTTAGAAATTACTTATTTAAAAGGAATGACCTTGTCACCATTTCAGAACTTGGCATTTGCCTGTGTAGAACTAAAGAAAAAAACAGTGTAGACAGAAGCTAAAGATAAGGACCTTCTGGACGAGACTCTTTTTATCCCCTAGCAGATTAATCAAATCACCGCATATATGTCTAAAGTTGACTATTTTGACTTAAATATTTAATAATATTGGTAAAAGCAACTTTAAAACCTGTGATTCCCCATACTTCTTTAGTAAAGCAAAAAAGGCAACACCTTCATTACTGGAGACACAGTTTTTGTTGCCTAGTCTAGTGCACAGACAATAGCGCCTGTGTGTTTAAACATTAGCTCTGAAATCTGCATAGTAATTTCCATCTACAGATAATCCATTATTCTCAGCTCCTGCATGAACAAAGAACTGCAAAACTACCACACAAATCCTTATGTTCCCAAAAATACACAGATTTATGAATGATCATAATCTAACAGAACCATGTAGCTCAAATAAACCTTACAGAAGAGCAGCAGTTTTCTGAACCCATTAGTGGAATGAGAGAAGATAAAAAGATCAGCTGTAACACAAGGGTAACGTACATGCCTACCATGCAGAATATTCCAACCTTATTCCAGCTTTTGTGACAGATAAATCATTTTAGAACTACCTTAACTGGAGACTTTTTTTTCCACATTAGTTATACTATCTAAATACATGGAAAGTACACATTGTCATGTTAGGTTCAGTTGTGTAAGCACCACAGAACAAAAACAAAACACCATGAAAGATTATTAGCAAAGTTACAGATGAGGCTGGGAGCAGTTCCATACGGATGAAGTCATCACTTATCATTATGTACACTTATGAATCAAGTTTGTAAATCTTTGCACTTTTCTTTTAAAGACAAGAATATACATACTCAAAAGCAAATCTTACAGGCAGGCAGAACAGTCCAGCTTCATGAACCTGTTTGGCAATCACACATTTTGATTGACAGTGACAACTGCATACATCTTTCTTTGAAACTGACCATGTAAAAGCACAATTAAGGAAATGGCAGTGTAAAAAAATTAAAAAATTAAAAAAAAAAGATTAAAACAAACTCACATTCTGCTCTGCCAGCATGAGTCTCATGGCTTTTCAGAAGACTCAGAACAACTACAGAACTACAGCAAATCATCTTACTAGTACATCAGTACCAAGAGTAATCAGTAGTCAAAAATTCTGCATACTAAACAAATTATGCATAACGCAATCTTTGCTTTATGGAGCTTATGTTTCAAAGAAAATGGTGAATGGAAAGAGAGAAAGTACTATAAGACCTGTACTTCAAAATAGGAGATATGACCAGTGACTATATAGGTGAACAGACAAAAAAGTCTTAAGTTTTTCCAAATGTGCTTAAGAATATATGCTTTTTGCTATTATGTTAATAATTATCAACACTTCTCATCATTCACACCTCTTATCTCTACACTGAGCACAAAATATTCTACAGTAGGTGAGCTCAATAGTTTTGTAGAGCTCAACAGCTCAATGGAAATAACATAAAAGGTAAATTTAGCAACAATCAAAAAATCTAACCTACTTACATCTCAAAGCCATGGAAAATATTAAGTAACCATTCTGCAATCTCATACATTACTGTATAATCACTGTATCTGAGTTGCAGACAACTGTTTTCTTTCCTGCTCTGTAAAACAAAAACAGCTTTCTCATCCTTGGATGATTATTCCTAAATTTCAATTTATTACTGGGATGATTTCATAGGCCATAACAAAAAGCATAGAGATAAGCACACACATTGAGTAAGCATTTCCAGAGCATTTTTATGCATATCTTTGTTTCAGCAGACTTCTTGTTTACCTAAGCTGATTTTCAGCAGAAAAAAGAGGATTTTTTCAATGTGATAATTTTGTTGATGGGAGCCCTGAAAATATAGTAGCATTATACAAATGCTCCCAGTTTCTTAATTTTCCTAGTCTATAGATAATTTCAGTACATGTCTTTCCTTAAGAACTCATTACTGTCCCCCATTAGCATCTGGTATCTCTGGAGCTCAAGCTCTGACTGCAACAATTCAAATTCTCAGAAGTACATCTCTGACTAAAATCAGTATTCACCCAAAAATAATCAACTCTACTGGTAGTTAGTTGTCATTATGTATATCTGCACTAAGCGTAACAACTGTAGCATTTGACAGCTCAAAGACACTTTCCATTGATTTCTGAGAAGGATTTTATGCTCATGGATACTCACAAAATACAACTGATGATGAAATACAACTAAGTTTTACCTGCATCTGTATTTAGTTTAACTTACTTAATCTAAGCCCACTGCTCAATACCCTTAATTCCTAAAGGATAGACAGAAGTTTTACAAAGTTGCATGTACCATTAATAAAGCAACAAAAAAGATCACCTGAAAAGCCATGATTGAAAGGATCAAATCTCAATACCTTGGTGATTTTTGTGAATAGAATCTTAATCTTGAGTAGTTGCATCAAGTACAGAGAGACTTTATCTATACATTACTTATTTTTCAAATTATCAATATGTAAATACTGTATATTGTATCATGTCACAAGATGAAAACTATATCCACATTTCAGCCACATATGCCTGTTCCTAAGCATCACAGAGATGTTAATGTTTCACTCATTGAGGTCACTTTGCACAAGTAGATAAACTGAATCTGCTTCTTAGAACAATTAAAAGAAGATGAAGTTATTTAAAAGAAAACAAAAATGTCAACTGAGTAAGAAGGGTTACAAGAATTGGACAGAATAAGTCTAGAACCAACACCTTTAACTTTGATCCATGGGGCACAGGAGGATAACCATCTTGCCCAGGTGGAATGAACAACTCCCACTTCCCATATTCCATCTTCTTATATGGATGAGAAAATGGATTCCAGCCATCTGCAATATAAGAAATAATACTAAGTGTATTTATCTTAATATGTGTCCAATTACGAATCAAAGGTATAACAGTGTTTTCTGTTTCAGAATAATCTTCAGTGACAGCAGACACAAATACTTTTATATCTGATACTACTATACACATTCAAAAGAAGTTCAATAAAAGGTGTAAGATTTTCACTAGGAAACCATACTCCAATTCTAATTTGACAATGAATAAATTATTTCTACCTCACCTTCTTTGATCAAAGTCAAAATAACACCACCACCACCAGCCCCAAGCACTACTGATTTTAATACCACAAAGTCACGGTGGTATGAAAAATAATGGCTGAAGAGTAACGCTAAATATAGATTTAAAACCAAAAACCTCACATCCTAAACAAGCCAGTAGAAATATTTGTTATAACACTATGGGAAAAAAAACTAATCAGCAGCTGTTGATTATGGAGTAACCAAAAACAACCTCCATAAATTGAATGCTCAAACCAGGTTTGGATACACACACACTGCTCACCGACTCTCATTTTGGCAAGTTGATGTCCTATTAATAACACTCATTAAGTGTACAAAATAGGAAAAATAAAGGGCAAACTGCAGACAAACTTACTAACAATGGCTAAGAAACCACACAATGCTAGACAATAAAACACCACAGCCAGGAAATATGGCCTGAAATGCCACAGATTTAAGTAAGTCTTGAAGAAGATTCCTTTTTCATTAAAAAAGTTTACTGACCCAAGCTTACATTCCATAATTCGAGATTCTTTGTCCTCTTTGGATTCACTGAGCACTGGAGATGTGCAAGGTTGGTCATTATGATATGCCTAACTGAACACACATCTGTCAAGAAGGTCTTGTGTGTCTGCATGCATGTTCAAAGGTTAACTCATATGAATGAGACTGAATATAAAGCTTCTGAACTGAC